GTCCTAAGTGACTGTGGTCTTCCTGCCTTTCAAATTATACAATTTCCGGCGTGTACATATATTGATTAATATTTATTATGCGTTGCATTATTTGGTCATTGAAATCATGTGTTTTGTTAAAGCATGTCTCATTTATTCATGTTTATTTGGAAAGAATCAATAAAGAGTTCATCTGAAATATTTACTGTATGAAAAGTATATCTTTGCATAGTAATAGTGTAACACCATGCAACATGTACATTATTTTATGCAAATGGTAACACCTCAATAAAGCTCCAAATTGTTTAATCAACATTAGTTAACTACATTGGTTAACATTAACTAACAATGAAAATATGTCTAAAGCTTTTAATAATCGCAACATTTACTAATACATTATTAAAATCAAAATTTGTATCTGTTGATCTCATTTGTGACCCGAGCTAACATAAACTAACAAAGAATAGTTGTATTTTCAGCTAATGTTAACAAAGATTAATAAATACTGTAACAAATGTATTGCTCGTTGTTTAAGTTTTGTTAATGCATTAACTAACATCAACTAATGAGACCTTATTTTACTGTAGTGTTACCGATTCTTTTTGTTTTACGCCATTTATTAATCTGGTTACTTCTTATTCATGCAAGTACATAATCTAATTGCTAATGTTGAGGTATATAACTTTTAACATCAAAACAAATCGGTAGCTTGTAGAAATTAATAAAAACTATTTATTAATGCATTTCAGTTATTTGCTGTATTTAGTAATTTGGAGCCTTTTACTTTCATCATAAATTTAAGGCGCGCACACACACACACAACAGTGTTTTACTGTAAATTTGCATGCATTGTCTTATTAAGTGTATTCTCATTTTTGATCATTTCTCATTGCAACTTTGTCAAGTTTGTATGGTGTATATGGGATCAGATTGTCTGTGTGTTCAGGCACTTCAGAGTCTAAAATCATCTCATTCACACTCTCTGCCGCTGACCCCCGTCATTATAAATCAGAAAGTGACTTCCATGATCACTCTGTCTGTCTGGCTGAAGCCCCAGAGTCCAGCAAAGACTGAAGGGCCCTTCTCTCTGTGTTCATGCAGTCTCTCTGGAGCGCAGGGGCCACACAGGTCACGTCACATCACACCTCATCAAGTGTGCTTAAAAGATCACAGCAAATGGAGTTCTTAGATGAGAGGCCAAAGACATGATGCTGAGAAGCCGCTCATTGATTGGCACCGTTCTGAAAGCAACACACACTTGTGTTTCATTATGAATCGCAGTCGGACGCATTTCAGAAATGCCATGATGCACAAAATTGAGCTTGCTTAGATGGAAGCGTTACACTCATGTACTTAATGCAGCGTATGTTTCAGACCGAATGCACACTTTCATATATGCATCCAGGCTGCAATAATGCAAAATGCATGCACACTTTAGCAGGTGAGAGCACAGGTGCACATTTATTTCAGGTGATTGTGTGCAGTGCATTAGTATCTGAAATCTGGCATACACACAAACACACACACACACACTTACACATCGATCACGCCTCAAACTGCTAACAGCATATGCTAATACAAGCAGCTGGATAAATCCCCGCTCGTGCTCCACTGTTTGCTGCTAATGCCTTTTAATGCGACCGCCGCTCTGTTTGCGAGCCTTTTTTATAGCCGCAACCACTGGAGCGAAGGCGCCATCGATCTCTGAGAATCTAATGATGGAAATCTCTCTCTTTCTGCGCTTATCAGAGTCGCGGCTTCCCAAGGCCTCCTGGCTTCATGCTGTAAACAGCATAACCGAGTCAATACAACAGCATAAAAACCCATTTAAAGGATTTATGAGAGTGCGTACTCAAGTAGAGGTATTGTTTTCTGAAATATTGTTGTGCTTATATAATTTAAGGCTACATATGGGTGTTTCTTCAAGTATGGAAATGTTCAGCCTTGTGAACTTTCAGAAAATAAACTCTCTTAAAACACACTTTATACACTTTTTATGTTTACTTTGACAGTGAGATAAAAATTTTATTTTAATATTAGCTTTAGGTTTAATTTTATATGCTTTTTTCCTTTTTTAAATATTTCTATTTAGCTTTTTTTTATTTCAGATTTATTTGTAGTAATTTTAATGATTCAATTTAAATGTATTTATTTTAGTTAATTGCCAAGGCAACTTTTTTTTTTGTTTGTTTGTTTAAGTTTTCATCTTATATTTCTTTTTTTTTTTTTTTATTATTTGTAATATATATATATATA